GAAGATTGGCCCTCAAGAATTATATTATACATGCATTAACGACGCCATTGCAATTTTAGCAGAAGAAAAATCGATAAAGAGAAACCGCTCTCCAACTACGACTAACCAGCAATTATAGTTTACTTTAATAATACTATTAATATTAGTTGACTATTTAGTACTATTGGTAAGCACTTCTACATTTTACTAGAACGACTGGATGTTAGCCGAAATTGGAACAATAGCTGGGTTTGGTTTTGAAAGACGATAAAAATATCAGGGAAGAAGAATTTTTAATTTCTCATTAATTGTATGAAAAAAGAAAAAAATATACGATTATCTGGTCAGGGTTTGAGGTTCATCCAGTAAACACGGCGGTTATATATTTTGGTGCAGACGGCGAGTTCCTTGGTTCGATTTCAGTCTTTCCAATCCTATGTTAATTGTAACCAGTTCGTTTACTTGTAAAATCTGTGGAGTTTATACGGGGTTGGGGATACTAAATTAGGTGTACAATAATGAAAAACAAAAGTGCACACAAAACGTATTGTATTGATTATACAAATATATTATCAATAATAACATATCAATAATAAATCCCTAAAATGTTCAAACTGTTTACCCCTGACATTCACACACTAATCTTTACCTGCAAAACATTTATTATCATTTATTAAAATATAAAAATTATAACTGTATTATAATAAAAATTATGAGAATAAAAACATTAAAAATCATTTTTAATGAATGAAATGAATTCTAGGATTAAATGAATCCTAAAACCAATATTAATAGTAGTAACGGCTCGGATTGAGGAATCGGAGAGTCAAGTTCGAATTCCAGTCGAATCCATTACATTCACTTATGTGTTAATACCCTTGGGAAAGGTATGAATCCTCTTCTTCTCCCTCCAGCTATGGGTAAATAGCAGGACAGACCGGGTTTTATAGCCTTGGATGGCAACTGGTCTAGCGCAGAAAGAAATGGCAACCTACTGCGGGGAAAAATCTGCTTCGTCAGTGATGTATCAAAAGATACATAATTGCCTACGCGTATATCACGCATGGCACATAACTGACTGATTGGATACTAGTATAATATTGGTAGTTCTGGTATAATACTTACTGTGTACCTATGTTTGTAAACCCCTGTTTATTTAAAAAATAATATAGAGCCGATATTATTTTTTTTAGGTTAGTAGCTGGTATAAATTTAAACTACTTGTGTGTTTGTACAGGTGAAAGCGGACATATACTTACATATATACATATATCTCTTTTGGGGGCACCTCTGTGTGGTGTAGTTGTTAGCAAACTTGTCTGGCTAGAACAATTACGACTGAGTAGTGAGTTCGATACTCACTGGGTGCTCCATACTTTCGGCCTTGTGCCACATCTAAGCAGCGCTTAGAAAATCACTATATACATATATCTCTTTTGGGCCACCTCGAGGGGGTGTAGTGGTTAGCAAGCTTGTCTCGCTAGAACAATTACGACTGAGTAGTGAGTTCGTTCCTCACTAGGTGCCCCATACTTTCGGTGTTGTGCCACATCTAAGCTACGCTTGGAAAATCACTATGCATATATCTCTGCACTTATTTAAAAAAAAAAAGAAGACTAATATAGATCTCACTTTTAAATACATATATTCCTGATGACCTGATTACACTGAAATGTCCTAAATTTGCATAATATCACTTTTTTTTTTGTATTTGCATATAAAGTGTAGTGTAATGGTTAATGAAAAATCAGAGAGCCGAGTTCGAATTCTAGTCGGGTCCGTTACATTCACTTAAGCGCAAATAGCCTTGGGAAAGGCATGAAACCATCTCTTCTCCCCTACATCAAACTAAGGTTTGAAATGCAGAACAGACTGGGCTACTGTAGCCTTGGTTGGCAACCAGTCTACTACTGGAAAATTTTCTGCCTAGACAGTCATGAAAGAGACATGATCGTCTAAGTATGTATGGCACTTGACTGAACATAAAAGCATCAATTTAAATTGCACAAAGAAATGAATATAACAGCGCCGTAGCAAGATAGAGGCAAATGGCTGAGGGGGGGGTTACATCGTCATAAATTTTGAGGGGCTACAAGTTTTCGTCCAACATGTATCTACAGCTTAAGTGATTGATTCGTTTTCTATGGTCTCTTTGAAGGTTATTTAAAGCCAGAAACTATTTTTAGATTCTAAGATTTTTTTTTTTAGATAATAATGACTTAATGATACGATTCTTACTAATTAACCCATAGTTAGGAGGATAACAGGTAGATCTATATCTTTCCCAAGAGTATTTGCGCTTAAGTGAATATAACGAAACCAACTGAAATTGGAACTCGGCTCTTCGATTAACAATAATCAATTAATAATCCGAGCCATTATCCATTACACTATCGGTACATCCAGGCTTACAGCACCAGGTATTCCCACACTGTCACCCATATAGTTACTGACCAGACTCGGCGTTGTTTAACTTCGGTGATCGTACAGGAACCGCCGTTTCAACGTGATATAGCCGTAAGTGTTTATAACTAAGTTCAACTTTAGATTAGGTATTTATTGGCGCGCGTACATCGCAACACAACTGGGCACAAAGTCAGAGTTTAATATATATATATATAACTTAATATAGCCATGAATACCAGTCTTGTAAATTTATTTTTTTACTGTAGGCCTAAGTAAATCTATATGAACTAAATATTTTTTTCGGTCTGTAGCATAAACGATGACTCCTACCACAAACAAACGACTGTCAAAGTGAATTTAATCAGAGTAAATAGGTTCGCCTATCGTCCGGTTCACACTGCTTCCCGGACTTCTGAACAAGAGTAGAGGTTTATCCCTCGTTTCCTGTTTAGGATTGGGTTTCCGGTTCCTTCTAAAGTCATTCTCTTTTACTCCCTGTTGCCTCTTGCGTCTTAGTGGCATTATCGCCTTGCTTGGTTTGAATTGATTTTTAAAAAAAATAGTCCCAGAACTCTGAACTAGAAATAAAGCACTATTTACATTATTCGGACTATTGTCCTCATCTTTGTCGCCATATTTATTACAACGTTTCGGCCGTTGTGCGCTCCGGTCTTCTTCAGTTCAGTTCGAAATTCCAACCACCTGAAGAAGGTACAACGGCCGAAACGTTGTAATAAATATGGCGACAAAGATGAGGACAATAGTTCGAATAATGTAAATACTGTACATAATACCTCATCTCAGAAATATAGACAGATACTGAAGGATCGGATAAATATGGCAACAAAGATGAGGACAATAGTCCGAATAATGTAAATAGTTTACATAATACCTCATCTCAGAAATATAGACAGATACTGAAGGATCGGATAAATATGGCAACAAAGATGAGGACAATAGTCCGAATAATTTAAATAGTGTACATAATACCTCATCTCAGAAACATAGACAGATACTGAAAGATCGGATGAATATGGCAACAAAGATGAGGACAATAATCCGAATAATGTAAATAGTGTACATAATACCTCATCTCAGAAACATAGACAGATACTGAAAGATCGGATAAATATGGCAACAAAGATGAGGACAATAGTCCGAATAATGTAAATACTGTACATAATACCTCATCTCAGAAATAGAGATAGACACTAGAAATAAAGCATTGATTAACTCTCGCTGTTACAAAGAAAAATAACATTACTGGATGACATGAATTTCAAAACGATTTGTAAATTATGTAAGTATAATTAGTATATAGGACTAATTCGAGTTTAGATCCAGTTTTGCCTTTATGATATTGGCATTTTATTTTTGGTCGGGAAAAAATGGTAATTATAGATTTTCTAGAAGTTTTTTGCAAGACGCTAATACGTGGTGAAATCCTCACAGTATTTAGTATCATTGAAGTTATCGCTAACATTTTTGTCGAGCTTTACAAACTTTGCGTTTCGTTCATTTTCGCATACCAATCGATGAAATTTGAATAAGGCGATTTGTTTGGAAAAATAATCCGTCAAAATGCCTATTTCGCGGTTTAATAATTTCTTTAAGTTAATTTTATAGGACTTCATGTTAAACAATAATTTTTTTCTTTCCTTTTTGACAGCGAAGAATAAATTCTTTGGATTTTTTACTCTTAAAAAAAAAACTAGTCCCAGAATTCTGAATTAGAAATAGAGCATTATTTAACTCAATGTTACGTTGATTAACTCTCGCTGTTACATAGAAACATAACAATACTGGATGACATGAATTACAAAACGATTTGCAAATTATGTAAGTATTTTAGTTCTCATTGTACAGTTATGACATTGGGACTTTATTCTCGGTGTGAGTAAAATGGTAATTATGGACGCCTGCTGAATAGTACACATTCCAACATTTTCTTAGTTTTTCATATAATTTTAATACTATCGTTTTTATTAAAATGAAAATACGTTTATATTAATTTTGACGCAAATCCAACATTTCAATGTTTTTTATCATACAATTTTAATACTATCGTTTTTATTAAAAATATTTTTTATAAGCAAGAGGTCGCAAATTGTCGTCTGGTAAGAAAAGTTCATTTATAGCTTTGTGTAGCCATTAGGTGGAGTAATTGATAGCGGCTCGGATTGAGGAATCGGAGAGCCGAGTTCGAATTTCACTCGAATCTATTACATTCATATGTGCTAATAGCCTTGTGAAAGGTATGAATCCTCTTCTTCTCCCAGCAGCTATGGGTAAATAGCAGGACAGACTGGGTTCTATAGCCTTGGATGGGAACTGGTCTACCGCAGAAAGAAATGGCAACCTACTGCAAGAAAAAAATCTGCCTCGTCAGTCATGTATCGAAAGATACATGATCGCCTAAATGTGTATCACGCATAGCACATAACTGATTGAATTGTTATATAAATGTGACACATTATTTTTTCATAAGTTTCATTTTTTGCCACTTTTCTGTTCCATTTTTCGTCCTTTTTCTGTTCCATTTTTCGTCACCTTTCTTTTCAATTAGAATAAGTCGACACATAGCAGTGTATTGGGCTTTATTTGCAGGCAAATACGCCAGGAAATGATATAGATTCGTGAATCCTAAATGTGTATCACGGACGGTACATAATTGAATGACCGTAGCCATGAATCCATCCCAGTTCTGTCGGTTCATTTTTTTTTTTAAATATTCTAAGTAAATCTGTAAGATGTAGTATTTTTGTCTGTTTCATACACTATGGACTCTGCCACAAATAAATGTTTTTTTTTTTTGTTTTTTTTTTTTTAAAGAGTTCCAGAACTTTCAATTGCACTGATTCACTTTTAAGGTGTTACATTGAAAATAACGTTACTGGATGACAGGTATTAAAAAAAAAATAGATTTGCAAATTATATAGGTATACTTAGCAGTGATGTGCAGGAGTTTAATGATGCCTGGGACCAACTCCCTGATTATATGCCCCTAAGACTGAAATAGTTGGGGCCTACTCCGGTCTCAGTTACCAAAACACGACTCCACATTCACAACAGCTTTTAGCACTGTGGGGTGCTTGTACAACAAACTGAACAGAGACAATTTAAAAAATTAAATTTTTATTTCACTCTTTGTTTGGATGCTCAACACCCCACCCCACCGATATGGATGCCTGGGGTCCGTCTCACCCTCTGCCTATCCGCCTCCTACACACTATTGACACCCGGTACTGAGATCTAATTCAGTTCGTTCCAGTTTTACAATTATGATATTGGGGCGTTATTTTGCGCCTGGGTAAAGTGATAATTGATAATTTGTTATTGTCATTCACGACCATAAGAGGGGGAGCGGGTGGGGGCAAAACATTTCAGGGGTAGCTCAGGTGGTGGCGGCAAAAGTGTATTATTCGCCCCCCTCCCCACTCCAGCGGAATGAACCCTCGCTACGCCACTAGAACATAGATAAATTGTAATATACATGAAATATTCAAAGAAAAGAAGTTTTTGCATGTGTATGCATATGTATATCCGTATCTGTGTGTATATGTGTATGTGTGTGTATACGTGTATGCTAGTGTATATGTGCATGCATGTGTATATGCGTATGTGTGCCTATGTATATATGTGTGCGTATCCATGTATATTCGTATGTGTGTGTATGTGCGTATGTGTGCATATGTATATATGTGGATTTGTGCATATCCATTTATATTCGTATGCATGTGTATATGCGTATGTTTGTATGTTTAGGGGTGTGCATATAAGTATGTGTGTATATGTGTATATGTGCATATGTGTATGCGTGTATATTCGTATGTTCGTGTATGTGAGCATGTGTATGTGTGTATATGTGTATGTGTGCATATGTGTATGTATGCCTATGCGTATGTGTGTATATGCATATGCATGTGTATATGTGTACGTTTGTATATGTGTACGTGTGTATATGCGTCAGTGTGCGTATATATGCGTGTATATGTGCATGTGTGTATATGCGTATGTGCGTGTATAAGCATGTGTGTGCATATGCGCGTGTGTGTGTGTGTGTACTTGTATGTATATATTTCGTTACATTCTAACACCGTTATAAAGAAAAGAATTTTCAAACATAAAAGTCAAAGAAAGAAATATGCCGAATTCACTTGCAGACCAGCGGATATTTCCGGATCAGGATTTGGCCCTGAAAAATGGTGTTTTAATAAGAAAAGAAAAAAATGAATATAATATTAATATTTACTCAGTGGGATGTATATTGAAAGCGTAATGAAATACGAATCTACAACGGCATTTCAACCGATCCATTTTCGATTAACGCTTGTTCTTAGGCTGAGTAAAGCATAAGAAATAAAAACTGGGTTGAAATTAGGTAAAATCAAATTAAAAAATTGCCATCCATATATATATATATATATATATATATATATATATATATATATATATAATTCCGACACAAACTCAGTCTATACACTGAGGGTAAATAAGACTGACGAAGTTTTCGTCGGCTGAAATAGATCTATCCCGCATATAATTTTGGATTCTGTTGTTTGGTTTGGTTAGATTTGTTTTGTTTTACGGCATATCAACCTCAATGTGTCATTTAATGTCGAAAACTGTTTTTTCCTGGTAATACTTTTGTGTTTTATCAAAAATCTATTTCTGTTAATATTTTTTTCCTCAAAAATGTATAGCTGGTAATATTATTTTTTCAAAAACGTGCAGCTGGTAATATTATTTTTCCAAAACGTATAGCTGATGATGATATTTCTTCAAAATTGTATAGCTGCTAATATTATTTTTCAAAAAACGTATAGCCGGTAACACTATTCTTTAAAAAAATATATAGCTGGTAATATTTTTTCAAAAACGTACAGCTGGCAACATTATTTTTTCAAAAACGTATTATCAAAGGACTCGCTGTTGGACGTAGTTTATCGTCATACCCAGGACGTGGATATAGATTATTGTCATACCCACGACTCGGATATAGTCTGGGTGTTAACTATTTGCCCATAGCTTGGCCCCTAACAGGTGTTACCACCCTGGGTCAGGGTTGACCTGGGAACATCAGCAATTAAGAGGTGTTTCGACGCTCCTCAAAAC